AAGAATGGAGAACAAATATGCAAATCAGAAGTTCGAAAAATTTTGAAGTGCAAAGGAAAAGAATGATGCGAATAAGTAAAATTTTGGCGGCTAAATTCACGGTCATGATTACCTCGATAATCGGCAAAAGTTGTGCTAAATCGTGGGATGACGCGTGTTCGGGGTATTAGATGTGGAGAGACGTGTGTCTAATCAAATGTCAGAAGCCTTTAGAGGGAGTTATAGTAATTCCCGCCAAAAGAGTATTTCTTCCAATTTCTCGGTAACACAAAGTTATGTTACCGGAAAGAAGGGAGACTATCTGTATAGGGTGAAATATGACATGACACGTGGTCATCTAAAAGAAAGATACGTGGAACCCTAGACGGGGATAGCCGAAGATCAAACACAGCCATTCTGCTTGTCTCCGAAAGGGATAACGTTCATAAAGGTGTATTAAATGCTCTGTGATAGCATTTAATAAGGAATATTCTACAGCATTAAGAGCGACAGCCCGTTACAGAGAATTTGACATTTATATTCACCATTACATCTTCATCAATGACCCTCATAATTGACATTAAAGGAGAGCACGATCCTAGGACCTCCTTCCCTATACACAACTATAAATAGTGAGCCCAATTATCATTGTAAAGGACAAGAATTTTCTAGCAAAACTTACACCACATTCTATACAAAACTTAATACAATCTTACTCTTCTGCTTTTGGATCTCATCATTATTGTGCCCGAAAACCTTGTTCCCAGAACTATCATCTCTGTTGTTTCATCCACAGTTTAAGGCTAAGTATTGTACATTTCTTCAATTATTGCATTATTTCAGGATCAAATTAGTTCGCTTGTCTAGAAACTACATATAAATTCAATTGTACCGTTTTACTGGTAAACAATATCAACAATCATGTGATAAAATTGGCGAGAGTTTAATTAAGGTGATGCACGAAGTAATCATGTACATAAAATAGTGAATAATAATGTTTAGAAATCAGAGTAAATTTAGGCGTGATACACTCCCTGCTGGACTTTCTTAGCCTCCAAAACTTTGCTATGGGAGAAAATGAAAGGATACGGTCAGCGTCAACAGAGCTTTTTTTGTTTTGTTCTTTCCCATCCTGGTATTCGAATTACGGTTCTAACATATTTGGATTCACATAGCGTGAGATTCATTAAATGGGTAAACATTCTCTACCAAAAAAAATTCCATTGCCAAATCTCAAACATAATAGCTATCCCACCATTATCTTATTAAGGTGAGGAATCCTAGTTCACCATCATCGTTGATGGTGTCAATAGAGTCTGGGCCTGAGCTAGCTCTTAGCTTACGAGTTCGGACGAATACAGTAATTTATAGAAAAATAGTAAATAATATTGACAAGAATAAGAAGGAAACATGAACAACTTATCAGAAAATATTGTGTCGTGGTCTTGGGTGCAAATCGTTAAGATCGGTCGCTCCCCAAGATTCCACAGCACCTCCAAACACGTGCTCTCGTGACTGAAAATTTGGAATTTGCACAAAATAATTGCCCAGAAATCAGATGTTACATAATTGACTTCGAAGAGAATGAATCAAAAAATAAAGAAATATTTTTTTAGCAAAACCAAATTTGGATTAGGTCTCACGTATATCTCGGGCGCAAGGGGACAGGGGGCAAATCGACATGTTTTGCCTTTAGGACAAATTTCTTATGTGCACAAGGCCACTCCCTTTTACTAGCTCTTTACAAGCCCAACAAAGAGCAATTCAATATAAAAAGAGAAAAAGAGCTTTACAAAAATGACGAGGGACATTTTGTCGTTGATAAGACAAAGAAGTAAAGAAGGAAAAGGGGTCATAAAGAAATCTTTGACTTTGCATTATCATGTATAAATAATACCAACATAATTTTGGTCCAAACTTTTATATTTGTTTGAAAAATCTATTAAAATATAAAAATTATTAATTTAAAATTCAAAAACTTAAAAGATCTAAAATCAAAACCCATAAGGTTCAAACGGTGGCTACGCCGCAGAGCTATTGAGCAACAAAATCTTACCTCTATAGATTCCAATATCCATGTACGTGGCAAACAGACGGCTCATATATATTTTCGAATCCAACAACAATGTTATTACTGTATTCCTTAGAGACAATGCACATGCGAATCTTGTCGACGCGGTTTCTGCTTCGCTAGTGATGTAGCTATTTAAGTAATTATTATTATTATTATTATTATTACACGACGTAAATTTTTTACTGTGAGAATATAAATCTAACATGTGCAAGCTAGTTACTGATTTTATTAGATTATCAATTGCTNATATATATATATATATAACTTAAACTCCTAATGAATTTCTAAGTTTTATTTCCATATGCCAGGTTTTACCTGCGTTTCACGCGGCTTTTCGTTTTCCCACCTTATGTTTGGATTCATCTGATCTATCCCTTTCTCACTATTCTTTTCTCATTATGGCAATGGCCATGGGAAATCCTTTATTCTATATCTGTACTACTTTTTCTCATTATGATAATGGCCATGGCATTTCTTTATTCTACTGTAAAATACTTGGGTAAATATTTACTCGCATTCGGTGTTTATACCAAATTAAACAATTTAATCATAAGAGTGACCAATTAAAGTGCACATGCATATTACCTAACCATGGTTAAGTGATAAATAATTTATATGCAAAACAAATGTAATATATTCATTTGCTTGGTGTAAACACCGAGCGAGAATAAGTTTTTAGCGTAATACTTCTATAATGTTTGGGTGTACATATAATGATATAATTAATTACCTTCATTGCCTATTATCGATTATGATTAGCGTCCTTATGGAATTCCATTAACTGGCAAACAATTGATGAGAAGTTTCCGAAAAAACATGAAATATAAAAAATGACGTCGATTATGCTACAATTCAGCAATTTTAGGTTGTATAAGGGATATATTTTATGGGGCTTTTATATTGGCTCAGTTCTTGAATATTAACAACATATTATACAAATTCACAATATGTTCTATATTATAACAATGAGATTAAAAAATCACCTAGCTACATTTGTGCACTAACATGTCCCACTAATGTAGTATCTACTCCATGAGGAGCGATACTGACGTAGATGATATCATCATGATCCATCTTTTTAAACCACTAGGAATGTCTAATGCGTTTTTTTTACTTTTAGCCCGTGTAAAAAACTATTTACACTCATTAGCCGTAAAAGTGTATAAATTTATAATATACAAAATGTATATACATACAAAAAATATATTTTTTTCGGCTATTATTTTAAGAACGGCTATACAATGTCATTTTTCCATGCCTTAATAGCGTTTGCCAACTAGCCTGTTTTCATGTTTCTCAGTGTGGTCAGTACCGAGTGTAAAAGGCCATAAGAAAAGGTTACGTCAACTTTCTTCCCTTAGACTTTTAATATCATACAACGCAGAAAAAAAGATGGTCAAGAAAGCAGTCATTGCATGTAGAAGAGTAGTCTTTTTCAATAGTTAATTAATAATAGACAGAGATATGTTTGTATTTTCATGGAAAAAGTACATGGTTTTTGAGAAAGAATGTGTCCATGGTACCAGAAGCATTCAAGTTTTGATGCAAACTAGTTTCTGTATCACTTCAATTTGCCAACACGTAGTTTTGAAATACTACAAAGATCCCCCTCAAGGGACAACTACTTTGTCAAAAAGGTGTCAATTCAGCTGTATTTTGCTCCCTTTTCTATTGCGGTACCCGAGTCGAGATTCTATCGGAAACAATCTCTCTATCTTCTCAAAGTAAGGGTAAGGTCTGCATAGACATTACTCTCCTCAGACCTCACTGGTAGGATTACACTGAATTTGTTATTATTGTTGTTCTATTACTATACCCCAACCCCAACGGAGCACATCGTCCCAAGGGTGGTCAATTAAATCCCTTTTGCTACAAAGTTACATTGTGAATAAGTACAAGATAAAATTAAGCAATTCAATGGTAAAGGGAGTTCAAAAAATGTTTGAAGTCATGAGTTTTAACTTTTAACTGCCAACTAGGATATTTTTGCATTTTTTTGAATTCCCTTATCGTCAATCCTGCCTCTACGCATGTGCACCGCCAATTCCCCTCTCCAACCCCAATGGCACCAGACGCGTTTTCTGATAATTCAGTAAAGCCATGCTTAGAACAGAAGTATGTGAAACCAAAATAATATTGAGTATTGACCTAGTGTGTGAATTCAAACCAGTACATGCGGCTACTAACATTATGGTACATTTGAAAACAACATAAAAACAAGAAAACAGGTCAAAGACTCTCTCTTAGCTTACAAATGACTGCCAGTTATAATAGAAAATCGTTACACTTGGAATAAGTAAATCAGGAGTCTGGAATAAACACTTTCCAGAAATACTAGCGCACTTAACTTTATATAGAAAAGTAGCAATGGTACTATCAGTCTTTTCCTTCTTATGCCATTCTATTTAAACACCAGGCTACCACACCATATTCCTTCCATTTTGTTTAAGCAGAGTCTGAAAATTGAGCAGGAAGCAACAAAAAGGGCAGCCTGATGCACTATGTACGGGGTCTGGGGAATGGCCAGACCACACGGATCTATTGTGCGCAACCTTACCCTGCATTTCTGCAAGATATTGTTTCCATGGTTCGAACTCGTGACCTTCCTGAGCAGGAAGCAACAATAAATTAAAAAGTACTATGCTAAAAAGGGCAGCCCGGTGCACTAAGCTCCCGCTATGCGCGAGGTCCGGGAAAGGGCCGGACCACAAGGGTCTATCGTACGCAGCCTTACCCTGCATTTTTACAAGAGGCTGTTTCCGCGACTCGAACCCGGACCACAAGAGTCTATGCAGAAATGAATAAATAAGAACCTGTATTTCTAGCATATAAAGCTTCCATTTTGTTTAAGCAGAGTTTGGACATTGAGCAGGAAGCAACAATAGATTAGATTGTGTTATACAGAAATGAATAAATAAGAATCATATTTCTCCAACATAGAACGTGGCACCAGGAACATTATCTATGAATAAATGATGAGTATGTTTGTGAAGTTGCATGTGAGTACATATATTTTCACATTGTATGAGGCACATAGCGCATGGGGTGAATGATGATCATTCGCAGTTAAGAATTTTCTAACTCTCGCTCTTTAGACCAAAGATACACATACATAACTATAAAATATCTAGCTCTCATTCATAGCTTTGGTGGAAAGCACTCTAAAGACAAGGTTTAAGCTTGAATTACTGACATGGTCGGGGTTGAACAGGGTTAGTCCGTTAGCAGCAAATGCATAGTTATCCCATGATTCAACAATCTTCCCGAAAAATTGTATCATTACATTGTAAATCGTCTCACAAAGGCACGATAAACTCATCCAACTCACATTTTGTTTCTTTGGCAAATTCACATATTTGTTTCTTACTCGTAGAAGCCAAAATTGAAAGATTGAACCCATTAATGATGGCAAACCAAACCAATATGATCTTTGCATGGATAGTTCAAAAATCAACCTACAAAGATGAACCAAAAAGATCTGAATCGTACTCTGTGAAGCAACATCTACCACCACCTCTTTCAATGAAAGATAGGTGTTTCTCATGATTCTTTGGGAGTAGTAGCTTGTCGAAGTCGACGTTGATGTACATCCCAGTTGTATACACGAGCAGTTGTGACCTGAGCCATAGCAACTAAAAGAATAAGCACAAAAGCAACTAATAGCAACAAGTAGCATACCAGAATCAACGTGTTTCCAAAGATGAAGTAAAATAAGTAATTAACATCAATTAGCTAAATAATTGCGAAATTGCCCAAGTTCCATATTTAGGTACATTCACCAAATACATCAGTAAAAATTAGTGGTATATTCCCTAACAAATGTAAAATCAGTAAGAAGTAACTAAAAATTTACTTAAGCCAATTTACAGGCAGCTTGCAAGCCAGCAGCACTTGAATACAAGCTAAGTTCTTAGTCCTAGATGAGAGTCAGAGCAAAACTGACCTGAGTTATTGTCACTTGATCCCTCAGAAATTGTAGATCAGCCACAAGAACTTCTAAACTAGCTTTTGCATTTTCCAAGTTCGTTTGAAGAAGGGCAGTAGCCTGTACAGTGAACAAGATGTGAAGACCAATACTTCAAATATCCAAGAGTGCATGCTTCCAAAATCTTACAATAGCTAATTACATACCTCTTCACATGAATACTGCAGCATAACATTTGCCCCTAGCCATAAGCACACAGATTCAGCATCTTCAATCTTAGCCCGGGAATAAATACCTTCTGCCACTTCAAAATCAGTGATTAGCGCCTGCAACCAACGAGTCAAACCAGGATCAAATTAAACATGGCAAGTTAAAAATTTGGGGTTGAACATCGGCTGGAAGTTATTAGTGAAGTAAACCAGGGAGAAATGATCGAAACCTTGTCTGACTTCTGCTTAGGCCATTAGCCATTTAAAAGTAGCCAATTCAACTCTTAAGCAATGGCCATCCAATTCTTACCCATCAAATGTTAAACTTAACCAACAAGAGAAACTTCTTTGAGTAAAGTGATCTATAGAGTAAAATATATCTCCATAAAGATTATGGAGTAACAAAAAATATTAATTGAGGTTAAACGTGAGAGCAAAGGACCCCATCCTCCAATTCTCCATTCCCGTTCTCTTATATCTCTTACCCTTTTGCTGTCATCATCTTAAAGTAGTCAAGTTCACAAATAAACATCCTTCAAACAAATGATTGCAAGTACAACTTGTCATTAGCTCTTTTTTTTTTCTTTTCTCATTAGCTCCATTAAGGGAAGACACAATATATAGTGAACTGGTATCAAGCACAACATTAGTATTAAAATTAAAGGGAACTGGAGAACATTATGCGTTTAGGTATGAAACAGAAAACTGGTAGAAAAGGGTAGGGGAATTCAAAGAAAACTTGGCAGGTGAAATTCTAGAAAGGGCCAGAATGGATGGGAGTTTCAGCACTTTCTAATATTTCCAAAAGTAGCTTCATCTAGCAGCCTGATTGGTATTCCAATGCAAAAATGTCAACTGCAATAGAATTGGTGAGTGGATCAAAGAGAGAGAGAGAGAGAGAAATGGCGGAAGAATGGACCAAAGATGATACATTCTTCAGAGACATATCAGTTTCGTCCCTTTTTTTTTTTTTTTTGATATGATGGTGTCATGTCTAGTGTGCGCACTTTGACTATCCATTGGGTACTTGAGACAAATCATTCCTTCAAACAGAATGGCCAAGCAAATGGAAGAACAGAGGGAATGCAGTCATTGAAGGAGCAATAGAACGGTGGCCGTGTGGTGGTTGGAGTGAACTAAAGAAAGAGGAGGAGGTACTATAGAGAGAGAGAGAGAGAAGAGAAGAGAGAGAGAGAGAGAAGAGAAGAGAGAGAGAGAGAGAAGAGA